CTATCTTGGGATCATTTATCCTGTATACAGTTCTGGCTAGAGATGCCAGGCTTTGAAATGGTTGGGCCCTCTATCTTTTGACTGGGATTATGAGCAGACCCACCCCCACCCGCTCCCCCAAAAAAACGGTTTCTTCTGTTCCTGTGCCTTTAGCTGGAGCTTGATCTTCAGGAAGCAGTATAGCAAGATATCTGCAACATGGAGATAAACATTACCACCTGCTGGTTTTATTAATTTAGTATATTTATAGGCTGTTCTATATAAAACTACCAAAATGGCTCACACACAAAAATAGCAAATATCTCCAGATCAAGCTGCTGTTAAAAGCACAGGAGCAGAACAGGGCATTTTGGGGGGTTAATTGGCAGACCATGTTCTTGGCAGATCATGTATCCCTTGCTATCTCCACCACTGCTAAAAAGGGATTGGAATGTTCATTTTTGAAGTCTCTGCTCATAACAATGTATGCCATTAGAAAACAAATACAATTTAAATGGAAAACAACAATGATTAATACACAACAAGCTTGAAGTGTAACATATGTAGCATATAAACAATAATATATGGATGGCCATATGGACATCAAACCACTGTGGATAATTAAGACCATTTCAGTGTCCCTATAGCAACAAATTAGAAATTCTTTTCAAGTGTTATGAGCCACAGAAGCACCCTAACCATTAAAATGCCACCGTCTTTCTCCAAGTGCTTTCTAACTACTATTATCCAACGATTCCAGCACTAGTGCCCAGGGACCTGCCCTGTTTTGCTCAGTCATCCTCCATTATCCCATTCCATGCAAGCTCCGTAAACCACCTGGCTCATATCGCTCATAACAGGATGGTCATCTTTTTGATCACTTGTGGATAATTGGTAAAATCTGGAAGGTGAAGTCTCTCTCATTACATCCTCCAGGTCAGGAAGAACTTCATATACTGGATTACTGTCTATCACACTGGAGATAATGATGTAAGAATCAAGGATTTTTGAAGCAAAATAGGTAACAGAAATGGATTCCACATTCATTTTTTACCATATAGTTCTTGTATATCCCACTGTTCCTCCAAAGAGTATAGGATGACATACTCTCATAAACAAATCACTGGGGGGTGGGAGAGGATGAATGGCAGTGGTGTAGTGAAGTCGGGGACTGCAAGATTCAGCACCACCCCTTTTTTATGAACAGGAATGCTGATATTCACCTACCCATTCAGTTTTCCTTCCATCTTCACAAACAGCTAGTTAGAATGAATGTTCCTAGCATCAATGTATTTTTCCTTTTGGCCCTTTGTGGTGTGGTTTAATCTTGAATGGGCAAATAAGACCCATTAACCTTACAAAAATAATAATCATTTTATTTCTAAAGTGCCCCAAAGCCAAAGCTCTGTGGGCCATTCACCAGAATTACTTGTCACAAATACAGAAAATAAA